AAAAGGATTGTACTGGGAGAAGAAGAAAGGAGGAGGCAGAAAAGGGTAAATTATGTCACATGAAGAGGTGCAGAGACTTATTACACTAGAGGGAAAGAAGGGAAGGAGGTGAGCATTGTTTGAACCTTACTGTCATCAGACTTGGCTCAAAGAGAGAATAACATACATGCTTAGCTGAGTATCAAAATCTATCTTACTCTGTAGGAGAAAGGGAAAGGGAAAAGAAAAGGGAGGGGGGCTGATAGAAGGGAGGGCAGATTGAGGGCAGTGGTGGTCAGAAGCAAAGCACTGGTAAGGAAAGGGAGAAAGGAGAAAGAAAAGCATAAACAGGAGAGGAGAGAATAGGATGGAGAGAAAGACACAGTAATCATAACTGTGAATGAAACAGAAGCAGATAGCAGAATGGATTAAAATCCATAATCCTACAATATGTTTTGTTTTACAAGAAACACATTTGAAGCAGAGATACACATAGAGTAAAGGTAAAAGGCTGGAGCAGAATATATTATGGTTTCAGCTGAAGTAAAAAAAAAGCAGGGTTAGCAATCCTGAACTCAGACAGAGCATAGATCTAATTAAAAGAGATCCTTCTAAAAGGTACCACAGACAATGAAGCTATATTGATACTAAACATACATGCACCAAGTGGTATGGCATCCAAATTCTTAGAGGAGAAGTTAAATGAGTTACAGGAAGAAATAGACAGTAAAACTATACTAGTGGGGGACCTCAACCTCCCCCTCTTAGACCTACATAAATCAAACCACAAAAATAAAGAAGTTAAGGAGGTAAATCAAATTTCAGAAAAAGTTAGATATGATAGGCCTCTAGAGAAAACTGAATGAGGATAGAAAGGAATATACCTTTTTCTAGCAGTACATGGCACTTACACAAAAACTGACCGTGTACTAGGACATAAAAACTTCACAATCCAATGCAGGAAGGCAGAAATATTAAATGCATCCTTTTCAGACCATGATGAAATAAAAAATTACATGTAATAAAGGGCTATGGAAAGATAGATTAAAAATTAATTGGCAACTAAATAATCAAATCCTAAAGAATGAGTGAGTCAAACAACAAATCATAGAAACAATCAATAATTTCATTAAAGAGAATGGCAATAATGAGACAATATATCAAAACTTATGGGATGTAGCCAAAGCAGTTCTTATGGGAAATTTCATATCTCTAAATGCTTACATGAATAAAATAGAGAAACAGGAGATCAATGAATTGGGCATGCAACTAAAAAAGCTAGAAAAAGAACAAATTAAAAATTCCCAATTAAATACCAAATTAAAAATTCTGAAAATCAAAGGAGAGATTAATAAAATTGAAAGTAAGAAACTGTTTAACTAATAAAACTAAGCTGGTTTTATGGGGAAAAACAATAAAATATTTAAACCTTTGGTTAATTTGATTAAAAAAAAGAAGAAGAAAATCAAATTACCAATTGCCTTTTGTCAATTTAAGGAAATAACTATTTATACCAATACTTTAAAGTATTTTATTAGAAATGAACGTTGAACTTTACCAAAAGCTTTTTCTGCATCTATTTATATGACCATATGATTTTTAAAATTTTTTATTATTGACATAATCAATTATGTTAATAGTTTTCCTTATGTTAAACCATCTCTGAATTCCTGGTATAAATCCAACTTTATCATAATGTATAATTTTTGTAATATGTTGTAATCGTTTAGCTAGTACTTTACTTAGGATTTTTACATCCATATTCATTAAAGTAATTGGTTTACAATTTTCTTTTTCTGTTTTTATTCTTCCTGGTTTAGGTATCATTATCATATTTGTTTCATCGAAGGGATTTGGTAAGATCTCTTCTTTACCTATTATTCCAAATAATTTATTTAATATTGGAATTAGTTGATCTTCAAGCGTTTGATAGAACTCACTTGTAAATCGATCTGGTCCTGGTGTTTTTCTCTTGGGAAACTCATCTATTTCAATTTTTTTTTCTAAAATAGGTCTATTTAGATATTCTATTTCCTCTTCTGCTAATTTAGGCAATTTATATTTTTATAAATATTCTTCTATTTCATTTAAATTGTTAAATTTGTTGACATGTAATTGGCCAGAACTCCTTATAATTGCTTCAATTTCATCTTTGTTGGTGGTATATTTAGCCTTTTAATTTTGGATAGTAGTAATTTGTCTTTTTTTCTCTTTTTAAACATCAAATTAACCAATTATTTATCTATTTTACTTGCTTTTTCATAAAACCAAATCCTAGTTTTATTTATTAATTCAATGCTTTTTAAACTCAATTTTACTAATCTCACTTTTAAATTTTGGGATTTTCAATTTGTTTTTTTTCTAGTTTTTTTAAATTGCATCCCCAATTTATTAGACTGCTCTTTCTCTGCTTTATTAATATAAGCATTTCAGATATAAATTTTCCTCTAATCACTGCTTTTGCTGTATCTCATAGATTTTTATGTGTTGTCTCATTATTGTAATTCTCTTTAATGAAATTATTGAATATTTCTATGATTTGTTCTTTAACTCATTCTTTGAGATTAGGTTGTTTAATTTCCAATTAGTTTTTAATCTATGTCTTTCCTATGTTTTAACCTTTTTTATATTATTAAAGATAATTTTTATTGCATTGTGATCTGAAAAGGAGGCTTTTAATATTTCTGCTTTTAACTATAAAGTTTTTTGTATTAATATATGGTCAATCTTTGTAAAGGCACCATGAACCACTGTATTCCTTTCTATTTCTATTCAATTCCCTCTAGATATCTGTCATATTAGGTTTATCTAAAATTCTATTCACTTTCTTAATTTCTTTCTTATTTATTTTTGGGTCAGATTTATCTAATTGAGAGGGTAATATAAAAGTCCCCTATTATTATAGTACTACTATCTATTTCCACCTGCAATTCGTTAAAATTTTCTTTTAAAAATGTAGATGCTATAGTATTATAGTATTAGTATTATAGTATTAGATTATATAGTATTGTATTTATTTAGATTATTTAGATGCTATAGTATTATAATATAGCATATATGGTTTTTTTTCTAATATTACTTCATTGTCTATGGTACCTTTTACCAAAATGTAGCTACCCTGTTTGTCTCTTTTAGTTAAATCTGTTTTGGCCATAACTTTGTCTGAGATCATAATTGCTACCCCTACCTTTTTTGCATCAGCTGACACATAATAAATTCTGTTGCAACCCTCTATTTTAACTCTGTGTGTAGCTTTCATTCTTAAGTGAGTTTCTTGTAAACAACATATTGTTGGATTCTGATTTTTTAAAATTTATTTATTTATTTTTAGTTGGCAACATTCACTTTTATAAGATTTTGAGTTCTAAATTTTCTCCCTTCCCTACCTTCCCCCTCCCCCAAGACAGCATGCAATCTGATATAGTATACAGGTACAGTCATGTTAAACACATTTCTATATCAGTCATGTTGTGAAAGAAGAATAAGAGCAAAAGAGAAAAACCATGAGAAAGAAAAAAAAATTGAGAGAAAACAGTATGCTTCAATCTGCATTTATAGTTCTTTCCATTCCATTCTCTGGATGTAGAGAGCATTTTCTATCTTTAGTCTTATGGAATTATCTTAGATCATTGTATTGTTGATAAGAAGTAGGTCTATCAAAGTTGGTCATTGTACAGTGTTGCTGTTACTGTGTATAATGTTCTCCTGGTTCTGCTCACTTGACTCAGCATCAGCTCATGTAAATCTTTAAAGTGGATATTTCTTTTAAGGCATTTACAAGCTAGACCACAAGCCACTCTTCTTAATTATAACAGAACTGAGACAGTAACTAAATAATAGAATCATACCCTGGTTTCACAAGTCTTTAACCTAATTATCACCATACCATTATGAGGAATTAAAGGACCTTAACTTATGCAGGAATATATAACTAGTAACAGATGTCAATACTAAATACTTAATTAAGTTAGTTGTTTGAAATATAAAAAGGACTAAGATTCTGGGCCAAATAGCTCAAATCTCATACTTGTATCTTACTATAGTATCTCTGATATGTTCCAGTATTAGCTTATAAAATAAAGATTTAATAGTGTATTCATACTGATAATCTGATATGATTATATAAATTTGCCATCAAAGAATAGGGACATAACTGTCCAGTAAGGGAATAATATTTCCCTTCATGTCATGACTTCATGTCAATTCCAGGTAAAAGTTATGTAGATGGCCAGTGTCATTGAGCCCGGCTTAAAGTCAGCCAGGTGGGATATTGTTCTTTCCATGTGTCATATTGGGGAAACTGAGTCAGGAGAATCCTACCTCAGCTCATGAAAATGGTCATTCTCCCAGTCTTTCCCATGAGAACACCCTCTGCAGTTCATAGATGTTAAACCCCACAGGGTTGCTGGCATCATGGGTCATTGGCTCAATAGCATTATCATATTTGGAGTCAGACTCAGGATAACATGAGTTAACAGTCCCGTAAGGCCTTGAATAGCAAGTTCCAATAATCACAGTTTCAGGTGGGTTCAGCTCTCAAGGATCATATATCTGACTATAATCCCACATTGGTAACAGTAAGAGATTCATCACAGGAAAAAACCACTGCTCTCAGAGTCTCTTTAAACAATGTGAACGTCTTTAAGGTGAGTCTTAAGTAGTTTGCATACATTTCTATACCTCTTCTAATTACAGATTAAATAACAAACATGAGTAAAAACAGATTTCTCATTAAGATAACACAAGATGGCTTGTAAGTTACTACTCTTCATTAACATAAATGTCTGTACTGAAATCCTATTTCTTAAAACAAAAACAAAAGAGGTTCCTGACTTTAACCTCATAACTTAATAGATTTATATCTTCATTTCTCAAACTTGTTTACCCTTCCCTAATTATACTTAATGTGAAAGAACAAGACACTTCAGGAATTAAATCTTCTACACATGATAAGTTCAAACACTAATTTTAATTCTTGCTTAGACCATAGGATGACTATAAATTCAGATCAAAACAGCAAGAACTTTCCCACTTCTCAGTTTATTACAATAATTTAGATGCTTTAGTATTAATTACTAGCCTTAGATCTCTGATGTTGCTTCCATTGAGCTGCTGACTGACTCTGTTCTCTGAAAACACCTATTTAAGATTAGTGCAAGGATACAACAAACCTAGGAATGAAACTTGGAAATTCACAGTGGATTTAGACATGCTTGTTATCAATATCAAATTATCATCGCAATAAATTAGCTTGCAAATGAAAATTTAGTAGGCCTTCTAAAAATCACACAAAAATTTTCACAAAACATTTCTTCATACAGAATATTTTTCTACCTTAAAAACAGCTTAAAATAGAGTGAGGCTGCAGAGTTTGTATTTTGTCTTTGTGGCAATAGACAGTCACTAAAGGCTCTTAAGCCAGGGAATGGCATGGTGAGACCTGTACACTGGAAAAGATTATTCCGGAAGCTGCATGAAAAATGGATTGGAGAGAGAAGAGAAAGGATCAGGACCTACATTGGGGGATGTTGTAATAGTCTATGAGACAGATGAAGAAGTTCTGAATAATCAATCAATAAAACAGCAAACATTGACTAAAAATTTAAAAAAACAGCTTACAATTTATCCTGATATTAAAAGGAATAATCACTAAACTTTCATGAAGTAAATTATTTGGAAATCTCTAAAATCAGAATTTATCAAAACTAAGTTGGTGTAAAATGTCTTTTAAAAAGTAACTTAAATAAATCTCCCAAGTACTATTACAAGCTAAAATTCCTAATTACCAGAATATTCCTAGTTACCTAAATTCTCTAGTGAAAAACGTGTTTGTAATGGGGAGGAAATTCAGTTTTTATAAGCCAAGAAGAACATAGCAAATTAAATTAGCCTTATCACAGTAACAGTTTACCAGGCCTTTAAAAATATATTCAATATCATTTCTTCCCTTTGTATTCAAATACATCACTAGAAATTAAGAAAACAATCACATTCTTGAATCTCACATAGATAGTGAACATGGTAGTTCACAAATCTCCAAATTAACATACATATAAATATATCCTTAGATAAAGTAGACTTTAAAATCACACCCTTATTTTGTGTAAGGATTCCCATTTACTCAGTAGGAATTCCACAACACAGAAAACTTTTGCACAGGATTAATAAGAATTTATGACTAGATGGTTTCAAAAATCCTTGCAGGTTTACAAAGGAGATTTTACAAGGTCTTTTCTTTGTATAATTACTGATTTTCTTTTTTAAAAAAAATGCATTTGTAAATACTTGAGGCTGATAGAATGACCTAACAGCTTCCTAACTCATTTTTTTTCTGATAGTACAATTCTTATATTATAAAAACAGCTAGATTATAAGAGAAATTGCTTTTCTAACAATATAGGTGATGCAATTGTTTACCAAATTACACAATATGAGAAAGTTTTGAAATATAACAAAACCATAAACAATATCGTGTATTTAAAACTGGAAAGAAAACTAATTAATTACCAATCAAGTGACATTGATTTAGTTAGATGCACTTCCAAATCACTTTACACAGAAAATCATTCTTCTCATGACCACTGGCATTGTATACTGATCACATCTAAAAACCCATAAAAAGTTTTCAAGTAAAAAGCAAGATATAATACACAGTTAACATTCAGATAGTATTTGTCCTATGCCAAGTACTCTGCAATTATGTGATCCTTACAACAACCCTGGGAGGTGGGTTCTATTATGATCCCCTTAGAGAGCAGTAAACTTAGGTAAATAGAACTTTTGGGGGGTCTTACAGCTAATAAATTTTTTAATATGAAATAACAATAATAATTTACCTTTCAGAGAAGACCTATGCAGGCGGTCTTTACCCCCAGAGCCAGCTCAGAGAGAAAAATTCAGACTGCACGGAACAGGCAGGAGTCCAATGATAGGAGCAGTAGATAGAGAAGGGACTTGGCTACACCCTTTAGGGCCAGAACTTTCAGCAGAATAAATCTTGCATACCTAGTCCCAACACTGTCCAATGAAGAGTGCAGTCTAGCTGCTTGTCCTACCTGAGTCATGGCTCCAAAATGTCAACCTTCAGAGTCCAGTCCAAGAAAGATAAACAGCATTAGCTGTATCAGTGTTTATTTCTCTCAGAGCTGGCAACATCAATGCATCCATGCACAGAAGACAGTTTGGGATTGATGGGGTTAGGATGTACAGTTTATATACCCTTTGAACAGGGGCTGATATCAGTCCATCATCATTTCACCCGTAGACAGAGAAACTATCTCTGTATCAACCACTTCCAGCCATACCAGACCACTCCCAGCCTTGGGCTAACTAGACAAAAGAATCTGTCTCTACAGAACCTTAAGTAAAACACAATGGTCTTCTTCCCTACCTTAGATTAAATTACTTGAAAGCTTGGGTGAGGGCTAACCAGGATAAGGGGAGTCAATGCAATCTCATTATCAGTAACGTCATTCTGGAGAAAAACTGAACTTAAAGTGAAGACTTTGGAAGAAAGGTACTGGAGGAAGCTCTGAATCTTCAAGATATTGGTTATTAATAATAGTTTTTCATAAAATATATTAAAGTTATCATATAACTTTCTTTTTTTTTCATTTTTCCTTCCATCCCTCTGATGGCTACCATTAGATACAAATATGTATGTATATACGTGTGTGTATGTACATATATGTAAAATAATTCTACATATACACTTCTATTTATCAGTTCTTTCTCTAGATGAAGATGACATCTTCCTTTACAGGTCCTTTGTAGCTAATCTGAGTATTCATAATAGTTAAAATAACTTAGTTTCTCAAAGTTGTTCTTAGAACAATATTGCTATTACTGTATACAATGTTCTCTTGGTTCTGCTCATTTTGTTCATCATTTTGTGCAAGTCTATCCATGTTTTTTCTAAGATATCAAGCTCATCATAGATGAAATTGACCTTATGAAATCTATTGTTTGTAATAGCTGCACTTTTACTGCACTGTGAAGATGAAAATTCGAAAGCAACTTTCAGTAGTCACAAAATCAGCTTCCCTGATTTCATTTTATCTCTAGCTAAAAAAAAAACTAAACTAAAAAAGAAAAACAATTTGGGTATTTTTGAAGGTCATTGTTAACTTAATTCTCTTTGATTTAAAAAAAAGATTCTTTAGTTTGATTTTTTAAAAAAGCTTTATGAGAATCAAAATGCACAAGGAGTAAAAAAGAAAATAGACTTATGAGGAAAGAACCTTTTGTTAGAGAGGCAACAATGGAATAGCTGGGATTGCATGGAACTTGAAGTCAAGAGCTTTCTAATTTCAAAACCTTGATCTGCCATTTACTTGCTGTTGGATTTAGCAATTTAGTCCAATGACTTAGGCAAGCCCTTTAACCATCCTGAGCCTCAGTTCCCTCATCTGAAAAATGAGGATGATAAAACTTGCTCTGTCTACCTCAAAAGTTTGTTCCAAGGATCAAATGAGTTAATAAATGGAAAGCATTTAGTAAATGGTAAGTCATGTTATAAACATAAGCTATTATGAGAAAAGAAAAAAGTATAACATGAGGCCATTTAGCAGAGCAGGTAGCAAGTTGGCCTGGAGGCCAAAGAGACCTGGTTTTAAAACCTGCCTCTGAAACATTCTGATTGTATGATATGAACGAGTTGTTTAATCTTTCAGTGTTACACGTACAGCTAGGGCAGTGAGATGATGCAGTGGGTAGAATGCTGGTCCTGGAGTCAGGAGGACCTGAGTTCAAATATGACCTCAGACACTAGCTTTGTGACAAGTCACTTAACCCTATTTGCCTCAGCTTCTCATCTGTAAAATGAGTTGGAGAAGGAAATGGCAAACCACTCCACTATCTTGGCCAACAAACCTCCAATGGGGTCACAGAGTTGGACACAACTAAAAGTACTCAACAAAATCACGTGTACTCTAAGATGATAAGTTGTAGAGAAAATGCCCATTTGCATTTGTAGAAAGAGTTTCCTCATCTATGATTTCCTTATGTCAATGAAATCATAGGTCTAGTCCCCATCTTTTTTTTTCTTCTGAAAACAAATGGTTCATGGTATCAAAAACAAAACAAAACAAAGTAAAATACAGATCCATTAGGTTGTAAGATTTTTGAAAATAGTGTCTGTATGGTATCTATATTTGGATTAAATAATATTTATATATCCAAAGCTGAAAAGAACCTCAGGGATCATTTGATCCAACCCCTTCTTCCCTCCATTTTATTGATCATTGAATTCAGTTGAATTGGTAGTTAATGTGTCTCTTAATATAAACATCGACAGTCTAAAGCAAAAAGTAGGTTTTGCACTAGTTTTTGTTCCACGACAAGAATAACAACCTTGAAAAAAATACCCTGGAAAAGCATTTGTTTTACTATAAACGGAGCAATTGTTATGATGCATGTATAATGTGATTTCTTGGTAAACTGAAAGTTTTATTTGCATCTCTTGCCCCCTTGTGGCCACTGAATAGATTATCTAGAAAGACACAATGAAAAAGGCTGAATAGTGTCTAAGCTGTAACTGTCATAGTAGGGATCACAGTAAGGTAAGAGAGTTTTGAAAAACTGCTTTTCCTTTTTTGCATATGTAATTAGAATAGAAAATCTTTAAACCTTGCCCAAATAACTCTTGAAACCAAAGATGATGGTATGTCATTTTGTCATCACATCTCTATGCCTTCACCTAACCTCTTATTCTTCCCTTCAGCATCAACATTTTCTTTCCTTCTTGCTAAATTCAATTTAACATGTATTTATGAATTAGGAGTGTATACATTCGTGTGTGTACACACACACACACACACACACATGCACGCGCGCACACGTTTGTATCTAACTATACTCAATCTAAAATTTGTCCCGAAGTTCCATCATGTCTCTGAAATGGCTCTTAGGTTTGCTTTTACCTCTTCTACTGCTCTAATGTAGACTCTCATCCCTTCCTGCTCAGATTTCTACAGCAGCTCACTAGTTGGTTTCCCTCCAAGCCATTTTACAAACTGCTATTAAACTAATCTTTTTTTTTGGAGGAATTGAGGTTAAGTTATTAAGTGCTTGAGGCTGGATTTGAACTCAGGTCCTCCTGACCCCAGGTCCAGTGCTCTAACACTGCACCAATTTGCTGCCCCCCAAACTAATCTTTTTTGAAATACCACTTTCATCACAGCACTATTTTGTTTTAAGACATACTATCATTTCTTTTCTCAGTTGCCCACAAGATAAAGTTAAAATTCCTTGGCTTAGATTTCTAGATTCTCCATATTTTGAAACCACCTGCTTTCCAACTACTTCTATTTAATTGTAGAACAGGGAGTATAACTTTTAAAAAGTTTTACTCATTCCTCTACAAAACAAATTAAAAGTGAGTCCCTATACTTACCATACAATCTTAGGGTCTCTTCCCCTGCCCTTATCCCCATCCCAACTTTCTTCAAAGTGCTTAAAAGTTATCTGGAAAAATTAGAAGAGAAATTGAAGGTATGATGAAGGACATCTCATGGAATATGTGCAAAAGTTAATCTTGATTCTGGCTAACCAGAATCAAGCTCAGCACTCAGGCACTATGAGATTGCCCAAACCATGTTTGTGTCTCAACATGGAAGTGTAGTAAAGGAGAATAACCCAATTTGAGTGTTCTCTTCTCTTCCAGCTTTGGATCTTATTAAAATTATTTCAAATGGTTTTCTGAAAAAAGTAGGGGAAGAGTGACTTACCCTATTCCCCTCACCCCAGCCTTCATATGGGAGTGAACACACAGCAGCTAAAGCAGATGTCTTTCACAGCCAAGCCTAAGCCTGGGTTTTGCAGTGCCTCTTTTGTGTTTCTTCTTTCTCATTATTATGTAAATGAGGATCCATTCCCAAATGGATATGGTACAGGTTTGGAGGCAACCATATAAATTTAAGAAGTCTGGACTTCCTGGGTCAGCTCTGACCAAAGAGGACTCAGTAATTACTTGAATAGTTTTAGAGGAGATTATCACAATAAAAGAATTAGTTCAAACCTTCTCCACTTTTTACCGGAAGACATGGGCCGTAAATTGTTTCAATCATGTAGAACTGAGGTGAATTGTGGAATGCCCAACTGCTTTATGGTCTAATGAAGTTTAAGTACCAATTTCCCAAGAGGGTATCACAGGACACATATGTTGTTACCAAATCCTGTTTCAAGTTGTTCTGTCAAAGCATCCTGCAAGTCCTTTTTGTTCATCAGTATTTTTTTTTACGTAGGAAATAAATACTTTCTCATAGTTGATTCATATTTGACATGAAGGCCTTTTTTACTTGCTACTTTGGGATATGAGCTACAGCCTAAGCTTAAATAATTTGTTCCTGGAGTAGGGGTGTAACAAACCAAAGAATGTGAAATATAGGTGCCTAAGACTTTTCCACATGAACCCTGTGCATAGGTTGGGTCCAGAGTGAAGGAATCCTTTAGTGGAAAGGGAACAGATACAATTCTCAAGACCCTGTAGGATCACAAATGGTTTTCAGTGTTTGAAAAATAAAATGAATTTCAAAAATGCAATTTAAGAGTCTCACTAAAATCAATGTCTTGTTTTTAACTGTTAGATATCACAAAAGCCACATAATATAAGGGAAATTGTACTGAACTTGAAATCAGGAGACCCAGACTGAAATTCTACCTCTGATACATAGGCTAGTCTCTTTACCTTTCTGAGATACTACTAGTTATACTCATGATTCAACAGAGCTGTTATTGGGAAGACATTTTTATATACCTTAAAGTACTACAAAAATATGCTGCTATTATGCTTATAATAATAGTAATTATTGTACTCCAGCTGCTTACTTCACTCTGATTAAAAAAAAATACATAAAAATCCATAAGACAAGGTAGCTTCCCCAAGCATTGCAAAACCATCCGCCATTTTTGGATTGCACCATATGCCTTGGCAGGAATTATGTCAGAAGAAAACAATATGTGTATATATGATCATTTACATTTAGGCTTTGTTGCTTCCATCTGTAAAACAAAATAGCTAGAATACATGATGCTTAAGGTCCCTTCCAGCTCTAAAATGCTACAAATCTAAATTGTGAATCAGGTGGTTAGGGTGGGGAAAAAAGCAATCTGTAGCTACTTAGAGAATAATCTTGAGGCTCCTGGACTATCTTTATACTCCTTTCTTGCCTTTTCCTGCATTTTAAAATTACAGAACTCTGACATTCTAATAATGGATTATGTTAATAAACTTCTTTCAGCTTTTGTTTGATTTTTTAAAACATGTAATTATTCCAAATGAAGGTTATAGCTAGACATTTTCATCAACACCCAACCCTTTTCCTTGGCGGTGGTATGGGTGAGTGGGGGGACTAAACATGAAGACAGATTCCTGGTTTGAAATTTTTGTAAAAATGAGACATTTAGGAAGCAAGGGCTAATTTGCACCTTTAAATATGAGGAATGTTCTCCTATTCTCTGGTTTGGGGCAATGTTCTATTACTCTTAATAGTAACTACTTGGCTCCCAGAGCCCTACCTGTTTGGATGAGAGATTTAGAAGCCTCCCTGCCCTTCTTTCCTCTCTCAATAACTGTAATGATTTTGGGAGAACTTTTCTCATCTTCCAGGGAAGAGTCAGGCATATATGGAAAGAAACTGAGAATACTAAATAAAGATGAGGTGAAGGGTTCAGGGGCTCAAACTTTGCTCTTTCTTCTTTTTTCATGATAGCACCTACCTCCTAGGATTATTGAGAGGCTCAAATGAGATGATATTTGGGAAATGGTTACCCTGGTACCTGGCACATTGTAGATGTTACCAAAATGTTAGCTATCATCATTGTCCCTAGGTCAGGCTAGGATTCTTAATTTTTTTTTTTTTGGTGTGTCATAGACTCCTTGGGCAGTCTGGTGAAGCTTATGGACCCCCTTCTCAAAACAATGTTTTTAAATGATAAAATAAGACACACAGGACCACAAAGGTAGCCAATTACATTGAAATACAGTTGTCAAAGTATTTTAAAAGCAAGTTCAGGGACCTCAGATCAAGAAGTCCTGCCTTAGGAAGACTCAGAGGAATGAAAGTAAACCTGTGAATAGAGGAACAATTGGACTGGAAGACAGGGCAATATTTTTGTCTCCCAAGCTTGCCCTTATGGTAGAGTCTTTCCAAATTGTGGAGCATGCTCTTTGGAGATTCTACAAAAGTGGGAAGGGAGCATGAAACAAAGGTAAATTTTTTTGGTTATTTTCTAGTACTATTCCTGCACGAAAACAAAGCTTCATTCAAAGTCAACAGAAGTTGAAACTAACACCCTTCAACAAACTCTAACTGCCAAAGAATATAGTACAGTGATTATTTAAGATGGTGTCTTCAGGCATGGCCATATTTGAATGAGTTGCATGTCAAATCTCTGTACAAGTGCAATATGCCACAATCACCATCAATTGCTGACAAAAACAAAAGCCCCAAACCCTTATTTTCAGGGATTCTTAACCTGGGATTTAGAAACTTCAAAATATACTGTGATAACTGTCTTTCAATATAATTGGTTTCCTTTGAATTTCTATTTTAAGTTTTTATTGTTTATTATGTTTTTATTTTTATTATTTTATTGTATTGTTTGTTAGTATTTTGAAGATATATTCTGAGTTTCCTAGTTTTCCCTAGCTTTCCAAAGGAGTACACGACACATATAAAGGTGTAGTGTGCTATGTCTATATGTTTTACCCATGTGTGTTCACATGGATTTGTCTAGATGTGGCTTGTAGAGAGGCAAGAGTAGATATTTCTAGAGTATCTTTCTTCTATCTTTCTCCAAGGGAGATTTTGATTCCTGCCAGGAAGGGAAAAATGGGGAGCTTCTCTATATAAAGTTTGGAACCCACTGCCCAAGAGGGATAGAACAGCCTTTGTATACTTGGTCAGATGTTCAGTCCAGGTAGTATTTTATGACATTCTGACATACTTCTTGATATCCTCATCCCCAATGCACATACTCTCTTGGGCAACTGCCCAACAGCAGCTACAGTATAAAAAAAGCACTGGTCTAGGGAAAGAGTAATAGATATACTACAATTATCCCTTAATTACCTTCTAAGAAGATTAGTTATTTCACTAGCAGAATATAGAATACCTTTGATATAAGGGAAGGCTTCAGGTCATCCACACAATCCCCCTGTTTCATTTCCCAGAAGTTGAAGGTTTTCTGGGCCAATTCCTTTTTTTCTTTTCTCCTGCTAAAACAAATATGGCCAAAATAGTTAATATGTTTTGGTTTAGAACCAGTGATCTTGATGAAGATAATTAGGAAGATGTTGAGCAAAGAGTGAAAGAAGCAGTCAACTGGGCATTTGGTTCTTTTGGAATTGTCTACAGTAATATGATCTTACCATTCAGGCTGGAGATCAGCTGCATGAGAGTGAGAGGGTGAACTTGAGTTTGGAAGGATAAGGAAATAGACCCTGAGTCAAGAGACCTCCAAACTGATTCAATTACAAACAATTAGGGATCTACAAGCTCCCAGGCTCCAGTTGTTGCAGTGCTGTCAGGGTCTCTACTTGTGCTTGACAGTGTAGACAGGCATCTCCCAGTTAAGGTTTTCAGATAAGAATAGAGGAAATTAAATCAACTGGGAGCAAGGCAAGAGATGCTCTTCAAGAAGTGTGACAGATATGAAAAAGGAACAACTCTTCTGTTGGAGCTTGAATGACTTGGAACTCTCACCTGAGGCAAAGGATAGGACCTAAATGCAGTTATGCAGATTCCAGACCATTTCACCAATGTATGGCCATGTCTGAATTCTCCAGGCATGGTTGGGGTTGATCATAAGATCAGGGATTTATAGCTGAAAGGGACCACAGAGGTTGAGTCTCACCCTGTCATTTAATAGATGAGAAAACTGAGGATCGGAGATTAAGTGGATTTCCCAGAGTCAAACAGCTAGTAAGTGACTGAGAAGGAATTTGTACCCAAATCTTTTTGACTCCAAGTCCAGCAGTCTATCTGCTAAGCTTTATTATAAGCAAGGTGGTAGTGTGGCTTTGGTGGCTCTGCTAATTTGACTCAAGAATTTAATGCAGTTCAGGCTACAATAGGCACCTCAAGCAGGAATTCCCTGGGCAAGCTCAGAAAATACTCAAGACTTTTGTTTCACTTAGGAGGCAGAAGAATGAAATTCCAATGACTACCACATACTGCTGAAAGTCTTTGGCCAAGAGCACACCAATTGGACAGGGTTGTAATTTACACTATTGGCAGGAGTACCTGAATGGATAAGATCAGGAATCCATTAGGTTCCTGAGTAAGAATGCTGGAATTGTCTTTATTCTTCACTCTTCCTCAGTGGAATATGCCCCAGGAATCATGCATCTATTTTAATATAAATATATTTATATATACTTCAACTTATCCTCAGCCAATTTTGAGTTTAAAACATAATGTCTATCATATGCTTGTAGTCTGTAACTTTTTTATCCATCTCAATGTGGCCCTTGGGAAAAAGCCTAATAGAGATTATTCACTTAAATAGTGCTATGCAGTTTATGACTTTGGCAAGATTTTTCTAAGAAGCAGAACATTTACAGATAACATCCTTGAATATGCAGTTTTGAATGTGATGAATGTGCATGATACAGTTGGAAGAATACTGGCTCTGGAATTTGAGGACAAGGGTTAAAATCCCCCCTCTGTTTTTTTGTTTTGTTTTTGTTTTTGTTTTTTAAGGGGCAGCTAGGTGGTACAGTGGATAGAGCACTGGACTTGGAGTCAGGAAAATTTATCTTCATGTGTTCAAATCTGACCTCAGACACTTACTAGCTGTATGATCCTAGGCAAATCATGTGACCCTGTTTGCCTCAGTTTCCTCAGCTGTAAAATGAACTGGAGAAGGAAATGGCAAACTACTCCAGTATCTTTGCCAAGAAAACTCCAAACAGGGTCATGAACAGCAACAATCTCTGATTTTTTTTTTGCCTATGTGGCCTGAAACAAGTCACTAACCTTACTAGGCCTCAGTTTCTTCAAGTGAAAAAACTAAGGAGTTGGACTAAATGGCTTCTGGAGTACCTTCTAGCTCTAGCCCTGTGATCCTTTGATCTTTATCAGACTTCCAGATTAAAAGGCTTTTCTGGATCAAGAGCAAATGACTGTTTGTTGGTTGCCTGGCCAGCAGAGGTCATAAGAAGATAACTGAGTAAGGAACAGACTTATTGGAAGGATAGGGGAAATATGATACATTTGAACTTAACAAACACCACTCGAAGTTTTGCCAAAAAAAAAAGTTAAAATAGTTTTAATTTTCTTGTTTTAGAAATCCAATTCAACTAAGTAACTAAATGCCTGTCATGTTTTTGGCATTGTCCCAGGTGTTGGGGAAATAAAGATGAAAAATGACCAGGTTATTGCCCTCAAGAAGCTTATGTTCTACTAGAGGAAAAATACATGTACCAAAAAATATATAATACAAGGTAGACTGTAACAGGAGCCATAGAAGAGACCCAGACAAAATACTGTAGGAAAGGAAGGAAAGAACATTTTCAGCTTGAGGGAAGTGGTTAGGGAAGGCTTCACAGAGATAGTAGCAATTGAGGTGAGCCTTGTAGGAAAAGGAAGATAGAATAAGGAAACAATGCTAAGGTTGGAAGATGTCCTGACCTAATACTTGGAATAGGAAAAGGCAGCTTACCCAGATAATACAAGTGAATGGAATAAAATGCATAAATGAGAACAGGGAAAAAAAGTCCAGAAAGTAAGGTTGGGGTCAGATTTTTGTAGGCCTTTAATGCCAAGTTAAAAACTTTGTATATTATTTTCGTACTGGAAATTCTTATTCACTGTCCATTTATTAGCTTAACATACAGGTCTGGAATGCAGAGGAGTGTAACTTCTTTGTACCCTTGCTAGCAGGTGAGAATAAGTTCCTGTGTGGTTTATTACACTGTTATTCTTTCTTAGGTTAAGGTATTACAGGAAAGGTGTGAGTTAGAGAAGTCTAGTTCAGGTTGGAGATTCAAAAGAAATGAGGAATTTGCAGGCCATTTAACAGTTAACAAAAACAGGTTTATGCAGCCATATTACTGCAAGAGAATTCAGCAAGGATACAAACTAGTTCAGGTACTCCCCTCTCCCAATGACCATAGAGAAATGCATCTGATCAACAGGGACAAGGTGTAGTGACTCACATGGTAGTGGAACATCCCCAGCCCCCGAGTCTGAAGAACTCTGACCCCTTAAGGGTTGGCTTTTCGGCAACTGGGAATCCAAACTGGGCCCCTTATTTCTCTAGACCAATCAAGTTTCCAGGATGGTTTCAATATCTTTTAAGGAGAAATTAACCTAGTCTGCAAAGGGGTAGACTAAAAAAACCTAGCAGAGTTGAGGTGGCAGGACCATAGGAAATATTGCTCCTACTATAATGAGGGAAGAGTTAAATCAACATTGGGAAGTAAGTGTTAATTTGTAATATTTTTAGTTAATGACTAACCTGGAGTCAACTGCCTTATGGTCATAAGGGATGGATAAATACTACTGAAATATAATTCAGACCAAGCTTTGTGTGCAAAGTAATTAATTTTTATTCAGGATATCCATCTGCAAGCAGCATCTCTTTAAGTTGGTTTGTGGCTTAAATCCATGAGGCAAATGATCCTTTTGAATCACTAGCAGAACTAAACTCTTTATATTGAAGAGACATGGATCCACAACACCACAATTGTCTCTGTGTTATTTAGCTTCTAGATTGTTTACATTCCTTCTTTTTTTTAATTGATACATTTTGTTTTTTTCCCAATTACATGTTAAAACTTTTTTTAACATTTGTTTTATTTTACAGCTTTGAGTTTCAAATTCCAACTTTCCTTTCTTCCCTCACTTTCCCCTCTTTGAGACAGTAAGCAATCAGATAGAGGTTACTTGTGTGCAATCATGTAAAACATTTCCACATTAGTCATTTTGTACAAGAAGATTCGAAAGAAAAAGAATGAAAGTGAAAAATAGCATGCTTCAGTCTATATTTAAACAATATCAGTTCTTTCTCTGGAGAAGGATAATGTTTTATCATTAGTCCTTTGGGATTGTCTTGGATCATTGTATTGCTGAGAATAGCTAAGTCATTCCCAATTCTTCATAGTACAATATTGCCGTTACTGTGCACAATGTTCTCCTGTTCTGTTCATTTCATTTTGCATCAGTTCATATAAGTCTTTCCAGGTTTTTCCGAAATTTACCTGCTCATTATTTCTTTTTAAATTTTTTATGGTTTACAATCTTTTTAATTTTTTTTAGTTTTCAACATTCATTTTTACAAGATTTTGAATTCCAAATTTTTGTCTCTTCCTCCCACCCTTCCTCCCTCACCAAGACAGCAAGCAATTTGATATAGCTTATACATGCACAATTATGTTAAACATATTTTCACATTAGTCATGTTGTGAAAGAAGAATCAAACAAAAACCAAAAGTGAAAATATTATGCTTGATCTTCATTCATACTCCATAGTTCCTTTTCTGACGTGGATAGCATTTTCTATCATGAGTCTTTTAGAGTTGTCTTGGATCATAATATTGCTGAGATAAGTCTATCATAGCTGATCACTGTACAATGTTGCTGTTACTGTATACAATCTTCTCCTGGTTCTGTTCACTTCATTTAGCATCATTTCATGTAAGTCTTTCCAGGTTTTTCTGAAATCTGCCTGCTCATCATTTCTTATAGCACAATAGTATTGCATTACATTCATGTACCACAACTTACTCAGCCATTCCTTAACTGAGGAGTATCCCCTCAATTTCCAATTCTGTGCCTCTACAAGAGGAGCTACTATAAATGTTTTTGTATGGGTAGGTTCTTTTCCCTTTTTTATGATCTCTTTGGTATACCAACCTAGTTGTGGTATTGCTGGTATTGCTGTGGTGTTGCTGAAACAACATACGTTATGCTACATACCACTTTTTTTCCTAACACTACTCTGAAACAGAAACTTCTTATTTCTCACTTTAATGTCAATGCACCACTGAATTCAATGACTTTTACTTGATTCTGTTTTCAACATGCATTTCCTTGGAAAAAATGCCTTCTTCATTCAATCTGAATTATGGGGATTACAGCAAAAGGCCATTTGTAAAAGAATGTTCCAAGGCACTGAAGACATTGCTTCATTCCAGTAGACCAAATAGGGGACTTCTTGAAAGCTTTCCAATACTGTTTGGAAAGGCTGCCTATTA